CCGGACCATGGTCCTTGCAGGACCGTAACATCCCTATTCAAGCCTAAAATAGATAAATTTAATAAATTTCATACATTTATTTGCATTGTGATTGGTTATTTTTGGATAACACTAATCGCTGAAATAATTATTTGGTTATCCACTTCTGTATTTAAAATTAATTAGCTGTGGTACAAAAAATCATGTGATCTTATATATAGTTAACCAATAAAATTAAAATCGACATTGCTTATGAATCTGTTATCTGGATTTGAATCCGGATAAAATTTGAAAAAGCTCGTAAAATAATGCTATTGAAAAGGATAAAGGCTATTTGAAATCGTCAAACTCCGTTTAAAAAAAACTACGAAAACAAAGAACATTTTATAAAATAAAATATATCAAAAAATAGTGTTAAGTCGTTTATTAGACGTAGACAAAATTTCAAGCTTTGAAAAGATCAAGCTTTCATCCTAAAATAAACCATTTTTGTTATCATTTGGAATCTCAAAATTTATTTTTTTAAGTATTATATCTTGGAGATTGACTTGTACCGTTATATAATAAGGTAATCAATCATATATCATGTGATATCTCGCATTATCATTAACTGAATTGAGCAAATTCGTGTCGCGAATCATTCTTGTGCAGCAATCGTTATCTTTAACGTGTTTCAATGATTTCGTCCAATCAGAGATGAGTTTCATTTATAACCAATAGAAAAGGTGGTCAAAATTAGTATTCACTTTTTCAATATCGTACTTTTTCGTCTTAATAAATTTCATAGTTGTGTGTAGTTCGAAATCATGAATTTCTGGCATGGGTAAGTTACCCTGGCTTGCACACTTTGCAAACGTGTGTCGTCAAACAAATATACTTAAGGTTTCTTTAATTATTTGTACCTTCAGTAAAAAAACACAAAAAAGTAATCGCGCAAGAACAAGCCAACGTCCTTTATTCCTTTCCCCTCCTTTTATTGATGCTTCTCTAGTAGATGGAAGTTTTAAAAAAATTGTTGTTTTACCAAAATATGTGGATGAAGATGAGTGGCTGGCTGTAAATGGTATGCTTTGCATTGTAACGTTTATTTTTCTATTATTTTTTATTATTATTTATCTAATAATTTTTCAGTCTTTGAATTTTTTACTTATCTTAATATGTTCTATGGAACGGTTACCGATTTCTGTACACCCACTAATTGCCCTACTATGAGTGCTGGTCCAAAGTGAGTGTTTACTTTTACATTTTTCATTCTTTCAAGAATAAATAAGTTTCATATTTATTTATTTATTAATATTTTTTTTAGCTTTGAACCTTATATCTGGACTGACCAAAATCAAAAGAAAAACACTAAATTACCTGCTCCTTCCTATATAGATATTGTGATGACTTGGATCCAAAACCTAGTTAATGATGAAAGCGTTTTTCCCACGAAATCGGGTGTGTTTTATATTTTAATAAATTGGTTAACTTGATTTTTCTATGATTATAATAATTTTTTTTTTCTTTTGATAGGTCGGGAGTTTCCAAAAGATTTTTCACTAATAGTTAGATCAATATTTAAGCAATGCTTTAGAGTTTTTGCACACATTTATTATCATCATTATGA